GGTGACGGGGCGCGACGGGGTGACGGGGCGCGGCGGTGGGGGCGGCTGCTTCGGCGCGGGTGACGGGCCGCGGGGTGACGCGCGCGCGCGGCGGGGGTGACGGGCGCGGCGGGTGACGGGGTGTCGGCGGGGGGTGACGGGCGGCTGCTCGGCGGGCACAATCGGGGCCGCCCGGTGCCGGGTGCGCGCAAGGCCCTGACTTCACCACATGCGACATATTAACGCAGAAAATTGTACTAGGCGTGAATACATACAAATAAAAACTAAATGAAAAAAAATGACCACACAGGGGTACACTTTTTCAAAGATGATATTATGGATGACAAAAATAAATGAAAAGAAAAAAAATCAGCAGTGGAATGAATGCCGGCGCTGCTGTTATTCAAATTAAATTGGAAGTCCTTGAAAACACAATCAGAAAGAAATACGTATGCATGTATGTATATGTGTGTGTGCAGTAAATATGTGTGTGTATACATGTTGGAATCATAGAATATTATCATTTAAAAATATATGCATTAATTTCTGGAAATCTGAAAACCCCAAATGAAAAATTATTTAAAATAATAAATGATTTTGGTTTGGTCACTTGTAACAGAATATGCAAAAATCAATAGCCATTTTGCATGCCCATAATGACTGGTCCATCGTTCAGGATCCCTTTTGGTTGCAAGTGACTGGTCATTCTGAACTAAATTAGGAAAAATAAAACTTATTGGAAGGATACTTAGTAGCCCATGCAACTTTGGTCCATTGGTCTCATGAGCTGCCAAGGAAGGTCAGCAGAGCTAGCAGGGGGCCTTGAGACTCCTAGGGCCAAGGCTTGAACACTGTTGGGTAGTCTCCCACCTCTTATTTGCTTTTATCTGTGCGTCAGCTTCAGTGTCTTTCATCGTATTAATAACTTGGGTTCCACAACCTGGTTTAAAACATAGTATTCCCCAGCTCCTGTGTCTCACCTCCCATATCTTCTGTCACCAGAAGGGGACTTATCCTCTTGGCCCAAGTTGAAACATGTGGGAAAAGACACTGGCTGTCCTCGCTCGGGGCAGAGAGTCTGCCGGAGGGTGAGGTCTGTCATTGCACTACACCTCCTAATGAATCACATGGCTGGGATGGAGGATAGGGGTCTCCTAAGAAAGGGAATGGGACTCTACAAGGAAATATAATTAAAAAGAAAATATCAGTCTCAAAATAATAACGAAGATATTTAAGCACCTAAAATTAAATGTAAGAAATATTCAGAAATGTCTGAAGATACTGGCAAAACTTTTCTGAAGGAAATAAGACTAGCCAAGTTTTCTTTTACAAGTTTCTTTAAAAGATTCTTCTATTACATGTTAAAATGTATTTTAAATTAGAAAATAAAAAAAAAGGATGGTACCAATGTAGAAATAGATTAATAGAACAGTATAGAAAGTCCAGAGAAGACAAAAATGCAGATAAATATTTATATATGACAGAAAGGGCATTGCAAAATTGTAGGCTATAATGGTTTGGGAACAACTGGCTAAATATTAGAGAAAAATAAAACTATGATACCAAAAGCAGAAAACACTAATAGATTTGGTTGCATACAATAAAAATACTCTTTGGATCAATTAAAAAAAAACAACAGAAGTTAACTTATAGCACACTCAAATGGTTAATACCTTTAACATTAATAGTCTTTTAGAGGCTGGATATCAAGGAGGTTGAGAACGAGAGTGCTTCAGTAAAATCTTAGCTCTTAAATTCATTATATAAACCATATATCTTTGGACAAACTTCTTAAGCAGCCTCTATTTCTCCACTAAAAAGTAAAGGAAATAATGGCACCTACCTTATAGAGAGGTTATAAGGCTTAACAAAGATTTAATATTAGTAAAAGCTTAGAATGGTATGTCTCAGAATAAATGCCAAATAAATCCTACCCAGGATTAAATGTTAGCCATTAATACAGAAAGGATCCTTAAACTTATTAAGAAAAAGTTAAATATCCCAATAGAAAAGCAGAAAAAGACATAAACTAGTAGTTTACATGAACTAGTAACTAGTAAAGCGATACTAATAATCGATGAAGACACACTGATGTATTCAACCTGATTATTAATGAAACAAATTTCAACAAAGATAACAATGAAATGACATTTTTAATTTTAAAACATGTCAAAAATGAACAGTAACAGAAGTAAAAAAGCAACAGTAATTGGTAGTTTGGAGATTACTTGTCAGAATATTTTTTTTTTTTTTTTTTTTGAGACATGAGTCTACTCTTCACTCAGGGGCTATTGAGGTGAGTGCCATGAGGGTCAGCCTCGTCACAGTAACCTTCAAACATCCTGGCTCAAAACGCTCCTTCCTGCTTTAAGGTTCTCGCCAGTAGCGTGGGGCTAGCAGGTGCCCATCATGATTGATTGGCTAATCTAGTTTATTTCTTAGTTAGACGACAGGGTCCTCCACTCTAGTCCCGAGGGCTGTCCAATATCCTGAGTTCAAGTATCCTACTGCCCAGCCTCCCAGAGTGTCAGGATTAACAGGCGGTGAGGCCCACCGTGGACATAATGTTAAAAAAAAAACCAAACATTTAGGATATTATTTAGGGTTACAAAAACATTGGTTTACATAAAATTTTTTTTGTTTACAGGTTTGAGTTCCAAAGTACTTGTTAACCCATTAGTTGAATTGCCATCCCCTCCCCCCTTTCCTCCCACCTGCTGGACTTCTGATTGAGTTTGTTTATTTTCCCACCAAGGAATTGCTTTTAAATTAAAATTGGTGCATTTGTTCCCTGAACCTAGAAACCACTTTAAACAACTTTATCTAAAGAAAAAAAATTAAATTTTTCTCGGTCATGATTTTAAGCTAATTCATTAACAGCACTTGCAATGGGACAGAATAAATTTCTATTCACTAAGACTGTTCAAAAACAAAAAAGTGGAAGGACACCGAGGGACATGGAAACTCCGCTTGTTGCTTCACAGTAAGGCTGCGGAAGTACATTGTACTTGTGTGGGAAAGATTTTAAATATTATTAAACTTTTTAATTTTCAGATTAAAAACTATTACAGGGAATTTGATTTCTATAACAGAAATATAACCAAATATATTTACCACAGGAACAAAAACGTAGGTTTTGCCAAGAATACATGTCCCAAACAACCTGGTTGCATGAAATTAATAGGTATTGTTGCTTATTCTCGTTGGGCCAGTTTATATATTCTTGTTATGAGTTCATGGACTGCTTTTGGTAGGTAAGTGCAAAAAAAAATGAATAGAAAAAACAGAACCTCAAAAAAATAAATTTCTCATTGAAGGAGGCTTACTAATTTGTGGTCAGGCCCAACACTGTACAAAAAAAGCTAGAAGACATGCGTTTCCATTGGGAACACCACACAGGAGTCCAATATGATGCGTCCCACGAACCGTAAAGTGCATTGCTGGGGGCCCATTTAACCCCCAACGCCCACGAACCGCAATGTGGCCATAGAAACCCCCCAGGCACCGACAACCGCACTGTTCATTAAAGAACCCAACAGCCACCGACAACCGCACTTGGTTGGCCCCTTGAAACCCAAACAGCACCGGACACCGCACTGGCTGCCCATTTAGAACCCCCACCAAGCACGGGACCACCCGCACTTGCTGCCCATAGGAAACCCACAGCACGGGGACACCCGGCCACTTTTGCGGCCCCATTAAGAACCACAGCCAGGGACACCGCACTGCTTGCCCCATTAGGAAACCCCACAAACCACGGGGAACCCACCGCCACTGGCTTGCCCATTAAGGACAAAAACAGCACGGGACACCGATTGTGCCCATTTAAGAAACCACAGCCGGAACCACCGCCACTGCTGCCCCCATTTAGGAACCCAAGCCGACAACCGCCCCCAAACTGCTGCCCATTAAGAACCCCAGGGCACCGACCACCGCCCACTGCTGCCCATTAAAGAAACCCACAAGCAACGGACCACCGCACTGGCTTGCCCCATTAGAAACCCAAGCCCAACCGGACCAACCGGCAACTGTTGGCCCCATTAGAAAAACCCCACAGCCACCGGGAACCACCGCCTGCTGCCCTTAACCCACAGCACCCGGCCACCGCCTGTGGCCCCATTTAGGAAAACCCCACAGCAGACACAAACAACTGCTGCCCCTGAAACCCACAGCACGACCAACGCACTTGCTGCCCCTTAGAACCACAGCCCGGAACCCACCCGTCACTGCTTGCCCATTAGGAAACCCCAAGGCACACCACCGCACTTTGGTTGCCCCTTTGGAAAACCCACAAAGCCAGGACCCACCGCCAATTTGCTCCCTTAGAAACCCACAGGCACGACAGCACTTGGCTGCCCATTAAAACCCACGGCACGGAACCCAAACTCATTGCTGGCCCATTACGGAATGCCCACCCAGCCACGGAACACCGCCACTGGTGCCCATAGGAAAACCTACGAGGACGGGACACCGCCACTGCTTGCCCATTAGAAACCCCACAGGCACGGAAACAACCCGCCAACTGCTGCCCCATTAAGGAAAACCCACAAGGCCAACGGAAACCCACCGCCAATTGCTGCCCATGTTAGGGAAACCCCACGCACGGGACACCGGCATTTGCTTTGCCCGAAGCGGTTCTCGCCCGCGCAACGGACAACCGGCATGCGGCGGGGTTCTCCGCCGCAGCACGACCCACCGCACTTGCCCGCCCGGGGGCGGTTCTCGCCGCAGCCCCACGGACAACCGCCTGCGGGGGGCGGGTTCTCGCCGCAGCACCGACCACCCGCCCACTTGGCTGGCCGCGGCGGTTCTCGTTACGGCGTCAGGCCCCCCACCTGCAGTCCTTCTCCTGTCCATGTATTCCTTCGCCAACCACCCTCCTTCCAGTTTGGGAAAGAGTGTTTCTTGCTCTTTAATTTCATCCTGTTGGTCATTTTCCTCATTTGTTTATTTGGGCTGTAAGTTGTGGGGTATGAGAGAAGGATCCCAGCAGAGTTCTCCAAGAAATACCATTCCAATCAAGATTACATTTTATGACACCAACTGTTCGGGTTTTTAATTCCACAGGGTAGATTCTTCATACTTGTATAAAGAATTTTTTAAATAAATTAATAAAATTAAATAAATATTTTATCATCCTTTTAATGTTAAATGTTTCTCCACAGATGCAAGAGTCCTTGATGCATTTATGGAAAATGTCAATAATCAGATTTCCAGCAGACGAAGAAAAGAGGTAAACACGACTTCAAGATTTCCCCCGTCAAGGCAGCATGGTGGTGTCATTACACACAGAGAAACTGGAGTCAAACCTGGACTGGAGAAAATACATAAATTTAGTTCAGTTGAGGAGAGTGAAGGGATAGAACTTCTTAATGGATTTATAAGAAAGAAAACTAAGAATGCAAATGGGAAAAGAAGAGAAAGACCATTGAATTGGGTTTACTTTCTGTATAAATCCATAAAAGTGCATTAAAACCTCAAAACAATGCATAGGAAAAAAGACTTAGAAACAAAAGTTGAGCAATGAAGAAAACTCATGTCTGGGTAGTATAAGAGAAAGAAGATTCCAAGGCAATAGGAGGCATGTTCAGAGAAAAGATAGGTAGACTAGATCCTGCCCTAGATCCACAATTGTTAATGGAGGGTACGCAAAGTAATGCTCTCTAGTCAAGTCCATGAGGGAAACAGTGGGTTAACCTAGTTAAAAAGATACATTTACTGCAGGTCTTTACAGAGCCTTTAATTCATAGATTTGCCTTCTGGGACTCTAGACTATGTTGCTGCATTTCCCAAACTTATGCAACCAGAGAATGCTCACCTAAAGTCATGTATCACAACAGAGCAACTCCTACTGACTCCTCATAGAAGAAACACTGATGTTCCAAGATGCACAGAGTCTGGGAAACACGGCTGGAAAAAATATGGTAACAAAGGGAGGAAAGAATTTTAAGAGATTATGAATGGCTACCACATAATCATGCACAGAAATGCATGGCTCAATTACTCAATGACTTAGAAGTCTCTTTAATATCCAAATGCAGTCAAAATTCCTGGAAAGCCTGGGCTCTTCTCATAGTCCAATGTCTATAGTGAGAATGTGAGCCTTAAGAAACTATTATTTGAGGATGTATTTGAGTAACACTGATCATAACATGGCATAATAAATGAGGTTCTCCATTTGGCTTCCTAGTTCCTTGTGACTGAGCCATCAAGTGGCTACTGGAATATCCCACTCACATTTATACGGTGCGTTACTGTTCCCAAGCCTGCCCAGGTTGGAGTGCACTGGTGCGATCAGAGCTCGCTGCAACCTACAACTCCTGGGCGTAATCTTCCCGCCTCAGCCTCCCCAATAGCTCGGGCTACAGGCATGAGTCACCACGCCTGGCTTAAGTCCTTTTTCAATGCAGGGAAAAAGAAAGAGAAGGAAGAAAATTGGGAGAAAGGAAGGAAGAAGAGAAGCAGAGAAGGAGGGAAGGAAGGAAGAGAAGGAAGGAGGGAGGGAGAGACAGAAGGGGAGACCAGATTTTTTTCCGACTATGGCCTGCATGTAGTGAACAATTTATCCTCATTCGCACCTTTGTGGGGCTTATACAAGCAGTTGAAGAGAAACAATGATTAAAGCTGAAAATATTAATATAATTTGTTTTCACTATTTTTTACTCTTAGACCGCACTTAATCTTGATAACAGAAGAAAATTTAGAGGGAGGTAAGCTCCACCGATAATAGTCTCATCTCAGCTGCAGAGCCTAAAGTCTGGAGTTTTGTTGTTGTTGTTGTTGTTGCTGTTTTTCCCTGGGATTTCCCTCACAAATAATTTGAAAAAAATAAGTGTCTCCGAGCAGATAAGTTGGGAGGTCCCCACTGTGGTCATGACTGGCAGAGTGCATTGATCTGAGGTAGGATATGGGCTGACAAAGTGCCACCGAGGCAGGCCGAGACCGGCAGTCTGCCTTTGATATGGAAACCCAGGGAGTGGGTCCTGGAGGTCTGCGCAGCCCCTGCCCAGGCAAAGCGCCGGGCAGCCAAGCAAGCCCTGTTCTGTCCGTGGCGCCGCTTGGAATCCAGCCTCCTTCTCCAGATCCTTTGATTCTACTGACATCTATGGGCTGTGACGCAGCTGTGCTCTTTCCTTTCCCTTACCCACTCAATTGTCCCAATTCCCGTATTTGTTAAGAGCTTTGTATGTAGTAATTTAAAAGCCAGTGGGGTAAACTTACTGTCTGTCCAAACACGGTGCTCCAGGGCTGTGGCCGCCATCTGCCCCCAGAGCCTGAGGGGAGGGAAGAATTCTCCTGTCAAAAGCTGCTTCCCGCTGCCTGGCTCACGGCTCTTCCAGCACTGGCTTTTCCTGGAGAATCCCATTCTTCACCCAGCCCTGCTTCAGACACATAAAGAGAAATCGTTTCTATGCACAAAGTGTTACTGGCATACACAGAGTACGTAGTTTCGGAATTACTATCATAAATATCGCATACTATACTTCACCTACTTACTATCCAAGGCGTACTTAATACTCACTGTACCAACATAATTGTGAGAACTGACAAGTCCTTTTCCTGGCAACCGCCACAGCTCTTGAAGTAAATCTACAGAGACTTTCTTAGTCTTGTGTGAAGACTAAGTCTCCTCTAGATTTTCCTCTTGAAGCACATGGCCATTCTATTCTCTCCGTTCTTTCCGTGCCTCCCATTTCCACCGTCTTCGTTCCCTTCTTCATTTGTTGTTCCCACCTGCTCCATGTATGATGAGGTCTGCACCCGGTTCCCCCGGCTCCGGCCTTCAGCTCAGAGCGTGAAGCTGTCCTCGGCCCCAGCGCCCGTTTCCTCGCCAGCGTCCCCAGCTCACCAGCTGTGCCTCAGAGCGCACACCTGCGCTGTCCAGTTACTTCCTTCTTTGACTTGAGATCCCACGGTTATTTTTGAACGCAGAATACTCCACACATGTTTTAAAGTGCTTTGCCACACACTGACTGGTAACTTTTCATGGAGAAAGAGGATTTTGGTATCGAACAGCCTAACTTCTTTCAACTGCACTGAACACAAGCACTAATTTTACATTCAAGGTGATAAGAAAATTATCAAATCGCGTACATAAATATGAACAATAATGTGTTCTGACGAGTTAGACTTCAGCCAAGAAGTTCAGTGCCGACAGTGCTCACAGATCTTCAGGGCCATGCGTGCCCAACAGCAAGACATCGACCCCTTTCTCTTCTAGGGTAATCTGTGATCACAAACATCCACTGCAACAAAAACTAGAAGGCTATGAGAACACACACTCTTAGTTTAAAATCAACCTAGACTAGAGGAACCATAGAATACAGGACCCACGCCTTTGCTCTTTACTTGTGGACATGATGTAGCAGAGAGAGCTTTGGGGCCAATAAAGCTGAGCTGGGAACGCGGCCCTGCCACTCGCTCTACGGCTGAGCCTGAGTAAGCCACTGCTTTATCTGAGCCTTACGTTCATCGATATAACATATAAAGGACAATGATGTCAGCCATACAAATATTTACATTTCTGACATAAGCTACACCCTACAGGGATCTACTTCCAAGCTAGCTGTCATATATATGAAAATGTTTTCAAAAGGTCAACAATGATTAGATAGTAAGAAGGGGGCCAAATCATCTGGGGGTCTTCCTCTACATTCTCTTGAGTCTCCCCTGCCCCAAGATGTCCTACCTCAGTAGCTCCCAAACCTGGCTGTCACCAGCATCAGATGAGGAGCTGCTATGAGCCCTACCCCCTGAAATTTTGATTAGATCCAGAATTGGACCGAGAGTCTATATTTTGACTAAGTACCCCCTAAGTGATGTTGAAGATGAAGATTTGGTCATTATGTGACCTCCCTGTAGAACAAGCTGAGGACTCTTGTGAGATGAGGGAGTGACTAACGTGTCCAGCCAGGACCTGCCCTCCTGCTAGAACAGGAGAACCCTCTCCATGAAGCTGCCTTACATATTTTTCTGTGTTAGGAAAAATAGACTTCATTTATGATTTCTCTGATATCAAGGAGTGCCGTGGAACTGTTTAAGGCTTCCTCTTTGTCTTCTTTAAAGTGTGATTTCTAACCAGAGCTATTTTTTTTCACTCAGGTAGGTCACCTGAACGCTCCATCCTGGCCTAACACCACAGATTCTTAAAGGAGTACTGGGAGTGTCTTCCCTAAAGACCGCATTCAAGCTTGCCGTCCACGATTCACCAGGCACCTCCTCCCCAGTCCTGCTAAGGGAGTTAAATTACTTGACAGCCACTTTCCAGGTGAGACTATATTCAAAGCATAATCCAATCCATAAAAGTTTCTGGGTACCTGGTCTAGAAATAAGGCTCCCATTAAGGAAACACACAGCACATCAGCATTCCAGCACAGTAATGAGCCTCAGTCTTTAAGGACCTGGTTTGGATTTGAAACAGAGGAGCCAACAGGTTGGAATTCAGGACCCAAGAATATGTTTGTTACCTGCAAATTGTATTCTTATGCCCAGTCTTACACCAGAATTTCCATGGAAGTCCTGGGAGATTAATTAGCCCTGTAATGGAAATATACCTTTCTATTCCTTCACAACACATTGCCTTCCTTTTCTTCCAAATAAATAAAGCAGGAAAAGATGCTAAAGTCCACAGGACAATTCTGAATTGAGGAATTGTTTCAGCCCGTACACAGTGTGAAAATTTTCCACTTGGAAAACTCAAAGCAGAGTTCACTTGGTGTTGGGTTCAGCTCCCTGACTCTGCCACCTCCCCCAGCTCCACTCCCCACCTCTCTTCTGGGCAGAGGAGCAGCAGACAGCTGAAACAGCGCCCCAGGCGAACAAAGGGCCCTTGCCGATGAGCTGTAGGGCATCCCCTCACCTCAGCCTCACCCCAGCCTCCTGCCCCCTTCGCCCTGAGTTTCAGGCCAGGGTGATGTCATCCTAAGGAATAATGAACACTAACTCTAACCCTCATTTTTAAAAATCCACCATTAATATAGAGTGACACTGAATTCCCTGGTAATCGGATTAGGGTATATTGCTCAAACTGTCATTCAGAGCCAAAGCCCCTTTATCTCTTTGCTGATATGAAGCTAAGCTTCTTGACTCACTTTGCTGCTGTCTCTTTGGAGTCATGAGGAATCTGACTCCTTTGAGCCAACGATTTTATTTGCTTAATCTTGGGTGAAGAGATTAGGGATTTAGAGAAGATTTTTCAACATCCCTGCCATTCCAAGGAAGACGACAAAGTCCTTCCTCCTGACCGTTTCTCCCTCTGCCAACGTGTGCACATGTCAGTATCATATACATACCAGCACACACAACACACATACAGCACACACACACACCAATACACACAACATAACACACATACAGCTCATACACAAACAACACAGCACACACAATATAACATATATACAGCACATACACACCAGCACACACAACATAACACACATACAGCACACACACAACACAGTATATACAACATAACACATATACAGCACATACACAACACAGCACACACAACACATATACAGCACACACACACACAACAGCATACACAACAAAACCCACAACAACACAACGCAACACACAGAGATACAGCACACACACGCCAAACCCACAGATACAACACACAAAACAACATACACAACATAACAACACATATACAGCATATACACAACACAGCACATACAACATAACACACATACAGCACACACACAACACAGCATACACAACAAAACCCACAACAACACATCACAACGCAACACACAGAGATACAGCACACACACACCAAACCCACAGATACAACACACAACACAACACTCTCAAAAGTACACATTTATACACATACCATTTAGGATAAAGAAGAGAAAATCAAGCCTGCTGGTTGCCACATCAAAAGGTGGCCTCTGCAGGGACCCAACAGAGTAATTCTCAAACTTCACTAGGCCATCAAACTCCCCTGGCCAAATTGACGCACTTCGGTTGCAAGACTTGTGAACAATTAGCACGCTTATGTCTATAAAATATGTCAGAGGTTAGCTTTAACCACAGCCTGGCCACTTTCAGATGGAGACCTCAGTGGTTGGAGTGAAAAAAATGCACAACTTCTTATCACTAGGGCCCGATCAGGAACACCTAGCAAACTCCCTGACGACCATGGGTCTTTTGCCCCTATTAATCATTAAGGCATGGAGTGCTCAATCCTAACCAGCCTTCCTCGCTCCCCTCAACTTCCATCCAATGACAAAATAAGACAGCCATTGCAAGAAAAGCAAAACTCCCTCCTAACTTGGGAACCAAAAGTAAAAACTGATTCAAAAAGGAGGTGATTCAGAGTAGAGGTTCCACATGGCTAGGATGTGATATGACATGCATATAAAAGAGTATGAGAATGTACTTCAAATGACTCCCCCTTACCCAAACGAATAGCTGTGACCTTGTACAAGTCACTCGTCCTCTGGAACTGACTTTCCATCTCTGACATGGAGATGACGACAGATTTATGTCTCCTTGCCTTTCTCATCAAGTTGTCTGAGGGCCAAATGACATAAACGCATAAAAGCTCTGCACACTGATAAAGACTCATCGCAGTAACTCATGCAGACAGTCACTGCGATCACTGGGAGACTCTGGAAAAGCAAAGGTTAAACAGATGCCCGACAGCTCTTTAATCAGTTGTGTGGAAAAGCCAATACATTTGTCCTGTGTACGCTCAAGAAAGAACAGTGCCGGTTTCAAGCGCCGAAGAGGGGGGTTTGAACGCGGCTGGTCTCCGCGCAGCCCCGCAGGCACGCGCCGGCGCCGCGCCAGGGCGGGCTGCTCCGGGAGCTCGCGTGCGGGCAGTCCCGGAGAAGAGCGGATTCCGAGTTAGACGCGGATGATGTGGCGGGCGTTACCAGGAGCGCATGGAGTGAAGAGAATGCCACAGAAGGGAACAGCATCAGTGTGGACACACGGGCGGGGAGGTCGGGCGCACGTGGGAACGGCGATCACGCTGTGCCACCTCGGAGGACGCGGGGCAGCGGCAGAGGGGCTGGACGTGACGCTGGACGGTTAGGCCGAGACGGGTGTCAGGGGCCGTGCACGTCATGCTGAGGGTTTAGTCCTACCGGCAGTGGAAGCTATTGGAAGTTTTCAGGCAGTGAAGCAACAAAATCAGATTTGGGTCTGAGAAGATATTTACTGCCTATCAAACACTGAGGACACAAACAGGAAGAGGCACTGTGCCTACACAGGCAGATTGTTCCCTGCTGTGCGGCCACACCCTCGACTAGAGGCGGTCTGCCTGAAACCTCCGTGAGGAAACGAGGGTCTGAACTTAAGACTTTCAAATAGGGTTGGGGAATCACAGTCACAAATGAGCTCCTGAAAGCTTTTATAAATATGTTTATGT